ACTGCCACCGACTAGTGCAGTAGCATCACCCTCGTTGCCAACGTGGCCCTCTGAAACGTTAGATTCTCCTTGATTCGCCATGGTTTAAAGGTAAAATCAGAAACGGTCAAATCGCAAAAACGCTTTACACATACACGCAGTGGAACAAATCGGTAAATACACAAACGAAACAATTTCAGTATTGCGCAGCAAACGTAATAATAAAATTGGTAGAAAAGTAAAGTAAGTCTAAATACAACATAAAATGATACTATCTTAAGTGTAAAATAGCACTAAACTTTCACTTGAACGAGTGTAAACGCAGCATCCGTCGCGAAGTATCAGTGGAGAGCTGTTAGTCACCTGACACAATGTTGCGGGTGATTGCCGCGCGTGGCGCGCTTTTCAACTTCCTCCTCGTCAAAGATGACGTAGCTCCGGTAGAGAAAGAAAAATGGCCGGCCTCGATGCGAAAAATGCCGGCTCAGCGCTACATAGAATGGACAAAATACGAGTCCAATAGCGATGTAGATTATCGTAGATGCGTTTATAGTTGTTGCGATTATAGCTTCATGGCTGTTCTGTACAATCTCCCTCGCAGGCTATACCATAGTCTCACTCGCAGGTGGCTTTTCTAGTCTCCCTAGCAGACTTCTCTGCACGGAGGGAAAAAAACAAAAAGAAGGAAGCGTACCTAGGCGGCGTCGCAGAATGGAACAAACCTCGATTATCGCGGAAATTGTTGTTTCCGAGCGAAACTGCAGAGCGTAGCGACGTGGGCTCCGATTTTGCGCATATTTATCACATCACGTCGGGGTCACCAGTTTGGGAGCCGGCAGGAGGGAATAATTAAGATGCAGTACAAAGAACAAGCCGTGTTGAGAAAAACATAATCTTTTATTGTCACTCGTTGCTATAGAAATTTGTCAATAATAGGGTAATGCTAGACCGATGAGAGTAAGGGTGTAAAAGATAAGAGCGGTGCTACACAGTAGCAAATGAGTCGCCACAACGTCATTATTGCAGGTGATATGAATATCAACATATTAGAAAAAAATACAACCACCGATAAATACAAAAACGCAATGTATAGTTACTGAATGCAGAGCGTTATCAATGTCTGTACTCGCGAGGAAATATTAGCCGGTAGACTCGTAACGTCGTGCATTGATCATGTGTGGGTACGTACGCGCAGCCGCCGATTCGCTTCACATATGTTTACGTGCAAGTTGTCGGATCACTATATGGTAGGTGTAACTATTACCAAAGAATCAAAAGGGGTAAATAGAATAAGTCTTACTAGTGGCAAATATAAAATGTACACTTTGAATAATAAAGTAATTACTCGTGAGTTAGAGCAGGTTGATTGGAATAAGCTCGTAGAGATAGACTGTCCTTTAATAATTTATGAACAATTGGGTAATGTTTTTGCACCTATCTACGATAAAGCTAAAGTTAGCCTTAATTGTAATAGAAAAAAACGAGTAATACAGCCGTGGATCTCTAAAAAAATTAAAATATTGATAGATAGAAGAGATTATTTATTCCGGAGTTGGAAGACTAGTCCTCAAAATGTTACTTATAGATTAGAATATACGAAACATAGAAATCAAACAAATAAAATTATTAACAAAGCTAAAAATAACTATAGAAGGAAGGAACTATCACACTGTCAGGGAGACTTTAGGAAATTATGGGAAACAATAAATTGCTGGCTAGGAAATAGTAAAAATAGTTTAGATGACGTAGTAATTAAGTATCTAGGAAAAATCAATAGTTTAAGTGACATATGTTCAAAATTCTCAGAAACATTTACAAAAGAAATTGATAAAATAAAACATCAATGTAATATTAAGTTTCTAAATCGCGAGTCCTGTGTAAAATCGAGTGATACCACTTTCTGTTATAAAAAGGTAACCGAAAATGAAATAAAAAAAATAATTAGTCAACTAAATAGTAAAAATCACCAGGTTTAGATGGAATAAGGCCGCAAGATCTAGTTTTAGTTAAAGAAAAAATTAGTCCAATATTAGCAAAATTTGTAAACCTTAGTTTTATAACAGGCTTATACCCAGACAGTTTAAAAAAGTCTATTATCCGCCCTGTTTATAAGCATGGAGACCATTGCAATTATCCAAACTATAGACATATTGCAATATTGTCTGTTATTAATAAAATAGTGGAGAAAGTGATAGTTAAGAGAATTAGTGAGTATCTAGAAAAAAACTGCATAATTACAGAAAAGCAGCACGGATTTAGAAAATTACGTAGTACATCGACGGCCTTATCTATTTTCACCGACGACATCAACGAATGCTTAGGTAGTAAGCAGTATGTATTTCTTTTATTCATAGATTTTAAAAAAGCGTTTGATACGCTGGACCATGAGCAGCTGTTGGTGGCTATGGAAGAGTGCGGAATCCGCGGGCCAATCAGCTCATGGTTTCGTAATTATTTACATAACAGAATGTTGTGCATAAAGATAAAAGAAACCATTTGTCATGGTAAATTAGTTAGTACTGGAGTTCCTACTGGCTCTGTGTTTGGCCCTGTGGGCTATATCATGCATGTAAATAGCATGGTAAACGTTGTAAAAAACTGCAGAACATACATGTATGCTGACGACACATGCATGATGTATGCTGACAGGGATATAAAGGTGATTGAGAACAAAATACAATCGGATTTTGATAACGTAATCAAATGGTCCCACGATAATGGAATAATTTTAAATATAGAGAAAACGAAATGCATGCTCATTCAATCGCCATACCTGCATAAACCATGTATACCTATGAATATCATAGGCCATTCGTATGATTGCTTACACAGAAATAAACAACGCATTGGTTGTAAATCGATTGAACTTGTTGATAATTACAAATATCTAGGATTAACCATAGATACTAAGTTTAGTTGGAATTTCCATATAGAACGAGTGTGTAATAAATTAAGATCGTTATTATGTAAGTTTGTACACCTTAAAAGTGTAGTTGATAAAAGAACTTTACACATTCTGTATTATGCTCTCGTGGATTCTGTAATTAATTACGGCCTTTCAGCCTATGGACGTACGTTCCGAACGTACATGGATAGGATACATAATCTTCAGCTAAGATTTATTAAACTGTTAGTTAATAAGCAAGCTAAAGAGAAAAGTAAGGGTAACTACAATCTATTGTTTAAGAAATGCAGTATTCTACCAGTACGTGAAAAAACAAAGTATTTATTAGCAATTGAAGGATACAAAAGTAAATTTTTAGTTAGGAAATCAATTTATGGTAATTTAAGAAAGAATATACGTAAATTGTTTGAGGAACCAAGTGCGCAAAACTACTTTGGCGAAAGGACGCGTAGGTATTTAGTGCCAAGAATATTTAATGAAAACGTGCCACAAGAGGCCTGTCGGACAAAACAAATTTTTAAAAACAAATTGAAATATTGGCTACTGAATGCCATCGACGACCTATAGTATTAGTAGTACCGACCTATAGTTTATTATTAATTATTAATCTTAATTATTTTTTAATTAATCTTTATTCATTATTAATTTAATTTAAGATTTTCCTTTGTTGTCTTTTATAGCTTTGTTTTTAATTTAGTGCTAAGGGTACTTTACCTACTTAGTCTTTAGTTTTTAATTACTTTATATGTTTACTAATATGTTTTGTTTTAAAATTTATTTTAGAGAAGTATTACAATGCAATTGTAAGCCGTAATGAGTGCAGTTTCGCCAATAAACTGTATTCTCAGTTTGGCGAACTTAATGTTTTTTGAACCAATTGTATTTACTATGTTAATAAATAAATAAAAAAAAAAAAACCGCCGGCAACTTCTTACAAAAAGACTCTGATACTGTCCATCTTATAAGCTTAGTGGATATCGCTATGTTTCTATCCATTTATTGTTCCTAAGATTTTCTGTGGCCACGCAACAGTCTTCGCCGTTGCACAGACATCGTTTCATAGCCAATTCAACCGATGGTTGCCGCAGCAGCTGGCAGCCGGTTAATGAATTTAGATACGTATCTTGGAAGAGGTTAGTCCAGCTGTGACGTGGTGTAGTGAGTTACGTCAATTGAAGTATAGTTTAGATAGTGTCAAATACCTACTAAAGAAAGTAAAGTGTATGTAGGAGAATGGAAGCCAGACTAGTTTATAGTAAAATAGTAAAAAATAGGCAAAGAATAAGGAAACGTGGAATATAGAACTGCTGTGGTTAGGCCACATAACAGTCCTCGGTGTTGCACGAATGGGTAGGTCAATCTGGGTAAGTACTACGACCTCATAGCAAGATTGGCGTGAAGTAGAAGAGTTATACTTGTACGTTTCGTCTGATGAGTGAGATAGCCGGGGGCCACGTTATTAAGAGGTGGCAACGCATCTGCAACCCTACGGGTGATGCAAATGTCAATGGGCGGCGAAACCGAACGAACGAAAAACACCAGTTCTTTTGCCACCTCAAAAAAATATATCTTGAGTTTCTACGGTTGAAGGAAAAACATATTTATATTAATATTTATTTATTTATTTATTTATTTATTTACGCTTCATTGCTACTCGTTAAGCTAAGGGCTACAATGGGCGGAGTTAATGCCTAATGCCATTCTCTACCAGAAAACCCTTGTCATGGTAAAAAGTAGATGGTAGGTGCTAAGTGAACACTATAAAAATGAAAGTTAATAATTAATGTGCAATAAAATGTAACATATATGTAAGTATAAATATGTACATAAATATGTACCTACCATTAGAAGGTATTTCCTAATGTTTAAAATTTATAAAATGTTAAAGTAGGTATGTATAAAATAGGAAAATAAATTAATATAAAATTTTATTCATGTCCCACCTACATCATTGATCTAGTCATTAATTATGACTTGGGTGTGGGTATAATATACCTCGGCGCACATCCCCGCGTAAATGGGGTCTGTGTCCCATGGACCACGTTCGGGCAGTGGCAAGGCACGGCGGCGCAATTCTGCAACTAGTTCGCTGACGTCCATGATGGGGATCGGATCAAGGTTTCGCGCCAGCCCAGCCAGGTACTCCACGTAGTGTATCCTGTAAGAAAAGCTGGCGTGAACACACCTCGATAAGGGCCCTCTTGTAGAGACCCTCCAGTGTGCCGTAGGGTCGCGGTGGCAGACGCAAGGCAGCGCGACGAACTAGAGTTTCAAGGTCGTCTACTCCCAGGATAGGCAGCGGATCGATGTTCTGACTTCTCACCAGCCGGCTCAAATACTCCAGATAATGATTCCTGTAAACACATTCTAAACTCACCTCCGCACCCTCCTCTTCGCACATACTGTCGTTTTATTTTTTTGGGCCTACATTTCTAATTAGCCAGTACTACACGCTAAATGTGTTTTTCAGAAGTATTTATATCGGGAGTGTATCACACAGAACGGATATAGGATACTGAAAATATGTAAATAAGAAACTTACTTGCATAATCCCGCATTATTTGGCGATGACTCGCTTCCGCAAGGACCATCTACGAGACCCGTTGGTGTTTCCCGTTGTAATTGTATAGGACAACGGCCTGTGCTCCCTTCAGACGGCTCAGTTTCATATGTAACATTATTCATCTAAAGCAAGTGGAAATTATTACTAAAGTCTGAATTCAATTTAAATAATAATATTTTATTTTGTTAAATTTTAAGTCTGGTAAGAATTTTAATGACATTAAAGCATTACGGGGTGGCTTTTCTAAGTGTATCCATTTTTTTAAATTAAATTCTAGACATAAATTATGTTTTATAAAAAATGCTAAATATTAAAAATCACTCGTAAGTAATTATTTACATTCATTTGAACTTATCTCAAAAGTGCGTGATTTATACGCAACTCATTTTACGCGCGATCGTTCATAACTAACACGCACACAAGTTCGTGCACAGTAAAATTTAGGTATTTATGAATGACTACCGCATTGTCAACACGTTCTGTTTTTTAGGGAATAGAATGGCATTTTTTTTTTTTGGAAAAAAACGTTGTTTTTTATTTCAATAAACGATTATACTGCCGAGTCTGAATCTCCTGTGTAAATTTGGGCACTTCTCAAAAAATCTCCCTGTATATGTCATTGTATAACTGATGTTAAGCTTTCAGTCCTTAGACTATTAAAGATGGAGCGCTAAACTGCCTTGGAAGAAGAAGAAGAAGACTATTAAAGCTTATCTATCATTAAAATTCTTACCAGTCTATATGAAAGCAAATTAATTTTGTAGGTCACGCTTATTATACCTAGTTGTTATGACTTGATATTAAGTAAGTGGTAACTCAGTGTCAGGGTACTCTTTCCTTAGGTTAGTATACTCAAATAATTTGAGTTCAAAACCCAGTGCCGGCAGCATAAAACAGTTAAGGGCAAGATTGATTTATTATATGTTCGGCGGTGAACCAAACCATCGCGAGGAAGCATGATAAAGTTTGTGATAATTTAAAAGAAATTTAAAAATGTGTGATGAGTTTAATACACCGCAATAAGTTCGCGATGGTGGTGTACGCCGTATTAATTCCCTAAGTGCACAGGAAACCTTCGCCCTTCAGTGGTACATTAATACATACATTTTTATAATTATATTCTGGTACCTTATTTTTATTAGAGAAATTTTATTTCGGTTTATCATACCTATAATATTGCAGTGAAATATTGAGACATTTTCAATCCTATTCGTATTACCTGTAACAGCGTTTGCAGTTCGTGTGGTTCTTTGTCTCGCAAATAGAAAAGGCAATTACGTGGATGGTGTGCGTGGAGGCCCAGTTTGGCGCAATATTCACTGAGCCCACATCGTGCTCCCATCATAAACGGTTTACCACATCCGTAGCAAAATTCGTATTTACACTGCGTGCACGTGAAATGCATGCAACCACCTCTGTAAAATATAAATTTAATATTTTTGATCCGATCAAATTACTTCATATAAAAAGCAAATATTTAATAAAGGTAAAAGTTGTAAAGTGTTCAATCTTAATGTTCAATTTTTTTTTATACAAAATATAATGCGTTTACATTATTAACGGTTTCTTAACAGGTACTAATGAAGTATTTGATTAATCCTTGTCAAGTTTTACCTGTTTTACAACCGTTATTATGTCAGCTAACAGAAAGTTAATTACCAAATTTTATTGAGATAAAATTACTAAATCCTACTTACCTAGACAGTGAATACTTGAAATGACACCGAGGACACTCCAAACCATTTTCTCGCAAATGTTGCTGTACTGCAGCTACTGATCTTTCAGGGTCATTATCTTCTAGCCACACCGTATATTGTTCACATGTTAGACCCTCGTGATTGTGAGACCACTGCAATGTGTAATACGGTAATTGAAATAACGTAGTCTCGGTATATAATAATATAAGCTATCGGTAGTTAAATTGTGGTAGGTCCACGCAACAGTCTGCGCTGTTATGCAAATGGGTAGGTCCGTCCGGGGAAGTACCACGACCTCAAAGACCTGCGTGAAGTGGAAGTGTTATACTTCCACGTCAACTGGTGAGTGCGATAACGGGAATCCAATTTAATAAACTGGACTCCGGTTATCGTATCTGAAACCTGTGTGCAATTCAATATGTGTTGCAAATGTCCATGGGCTGCAGTTATCACTTACTATCAGGTGAATAACCAGCTATCTACCACTTTTTCAAATACAAAAAAATCTACAGTTTTTTGATAGTAACAAGAAATTTACCGGTTTCCTGCATGAAGCACAGCTCACTGATTTGCACTCGGGACATCGCAATTTCTTTTGCTTCGGATGGACGAAAAATCCTGATGAACACTCAACACACCACTTGAAATTAGGATCACGTGCGAGAGTTCTGTCTCTTAGCTGAAATTACCAAAAATAATGGGTTATTTCGGTCTTGCTCCTTATTAATATGAACTACCTAATACTTTACGGTATTCCTATTTAAATAATATTTACGCTTAAACTTGATATTTTGAAATTAAATTTTATAATGATGTATTTGATCAAGACTAACTACAACATAAAATTGTAATATGACTTATGCACTTTAAAAATATGTGCTATTAAATGTTACTTGTGAAACTTTCATACCTTTCTTTGGAACAGCTCGTGCACTTCTGTTTCTAATAAAGTCTTTAACAAAATGTCCAAATGTGCAAAGTACTCCAACCAAGCGTCTTCTGGAAGGTTTTCTAATTCGGGCTCTTTACAATATGGACATACACAGTCCGCTATACTTCGCTCAGTTATCTGGACTGTAAAGTAGAGGCGGGCGCATTCTCGACAACATCTATGAGTACAACGTAGCATAGACACCATCTGTAGAAAAATTGAAAAATCACATGCTGTTTTCATCAGGTTCTTAACCCGGCGAAAGGTGTAAGGTAATGGAGTGACTTTTAAACGTAGATATTGGTAATATATTTTTTGGTAGCGTAATGCCCCCTCAATTCGACTCGGCGATCTAGTTAGTATTGTCTTATCTAAAATTTTATTTTTATGATTAATAAGTTAATATTAAATTTAAACAAAAGTTTTTGATTATATTATTGAACTTACATTGTTTGTATTAAAATATGCACAGATATTATTTCGATTTACATAAAAAGTTAAAAGGTTGCTGATAAAGCGTAAGGAGCTTCGTTTCTGACGAGGCCACGGTTATGGTTGATTGAATTAATCGTTTTAAACATAATGCGATGAATATTCTTCTTAATGGCAAGATTTTAAAGTAAGGGTTTACATTTAATGAACAGTTGTTACTTTAAAACAAAGTCACCTCATATTCTGGAAGACGTGAAGCGCATAATTCACAATCTTGGTGTAAGTAGGCTAGAGCAGAGTTAAGATCAGCACATTCTAGTGCTGCAAGCAGCGCTGATGGTGGATGAATGCCGCGTGATATTAATTCTACTGCAAGCTGTGCTTGATCCCAATTCTCAGTTGCACCCTCAGCAAGTAGCATACGCGCCTGCCTCTGTAATTTGAACAGTGAACAAGTTGTTGGTTGTGTGATAACTAAATAACACTCAATAATTGTTCACTTTGAACTTTAATTGGAGTTACCTCAGGTGATCCTTCCGGTAGTCGAATTGTAGCCAAGTCGATTAGTTGCCCCGATATTCGCCGCATTGTTATTGGTGGAGGTGGTGATAATGGGGTGGTTTCAGGCTCTTCATTTTTCTTCAAATAGGATGTTTGATTATTTTCGGAATCACTATCTGTCCATTCGTCTTCAGTGCGACAGGTTTCCCGAAAGAACTGATTTTTCTCCATTTGAGAAACTTCTTTAGGAGGGGAATGATTTTTATTTTCACTATGGGGTGGTGGTAGAGGAGCTGGTTTTTTTTTATTTGAATTAGTTGCAGAAGTTGAAGGTTGGATTTCAATTTCGTTAGTCAAATTCGTCGGTTTTTGAAGTTTGCTGTTAAATAACCTTGTTTGTAGTTGTTTCACATGACCATTTTGAATATTACCAAAGTGTGCCTTTGGAGGGGCAGGGGCAGGATATTGTTTTATTGATGTACGTCTAATAGGGACCTTAGAAGCAAAAATTTTGGAAGAAGTTTTTTCTACTTTTGCCTTGTTGTTCTGAATTGCTTTCACTAATTTTGGTATATTTGATTTGTTTAAATTTGCAAATTTATTTGTTAATTCCGTAGGCACTGCCGGTTTCATAATATTGACAATATTTACCATTATATGTTCTTCAGAATTGAGCTTCGAATTGTCTGCAATACTTTGATCTAAATCTTGCACAGAAGTATCATTGTGTTGAATTTCAATTTCATCGTTAATTTCATTAATATCCGTTTCAGAAATTAAATTAACTGTGTCTGAATCATTTTGAGAATGAGAAGGTTCGTGTTCTGTGTTTGGGCTTTGTGAGACAAAATTTTCTACTGTATCAGGGAAATCATTAGATGTATTATCAAAAGTGTTATTAATGATTTCTGTTGGTTCATGTTCTGTTTCAAAATCTATGTGTGTATTTTCGTTTGTTTCTAATATATTTGTGTGGATATTACTACTTGACGTATCATCATTATCCATCTCTATGTTGATTTCTTCAATAAACGCATTATAATGTGGAGGTATATCTTTTGATATCAACAAAGTAGTTGCAGGCAGGATTTTATAATCAACAAACTCAATGACATGTTTTACACCATTAGGTTTGTTTGTTAATATAGTATGTTCAACATTATTACTTTTTTGTACGATTGAGATATCTTCTAAATTTGATTTGTTTTCGTTTTTATCTGTAAGTTGCTCATAGATTTCTTCAAAGGAATTAACTGCACTAAACAAGTTGTTATTCACATCTTGTGGTTCGATTTGTGTTAATTTTCTTGCATCAACATGTACGGTTAATAAATGTTCTTCTTTCAATGTCTTCGCTATAGAATCTAGAATTCCCATATTTGTCAGTTTAAAATCTTGTCCATGAAAATTTGATTGTAGTAATTGATCATTTAAATTTTCTTCTAAATGATCTATAGCTTCCTCAAATTGCTCATTATCTTCGGAACTCGTTCTGTTATTTGTTGCATTCCGAGAGTTGTTATCTTTTTTAGATTGAGACGTTTTGGATTCACTTTCATCTGAAGATAACTCTTCTGTTTCATTTTCGGTGTCGTCATAAGATGTCTCTTTGTCCGATGATAAATCTGATTCGTTTGAGCTATTATCAGTTTCATTTCCAGTATTGCTTCTACTATCAAGTGATCTAATGTCTGAATTTAATTCTTTTTTCATTTGTTGTATTAACTTTTGTGTGTTGTCAACCATATCAGATAAATTATTCGACTTTTCATTATTTTCCTTTACTTCGTTACCATCAAGTTCAATTTCCGATTTTTGTGCGTTTTGAGGACCAGCTAAGTTTTGATTCATCATTTTGCTATTGGAATCTGAGTTAGTAACGTCTTTTCTGGAAGTTTTATTAGCCAATTTGTGTCTGCCATTTTGGATCTTTAAAATATTTTGTTGTTTTTGAAAATTCTTTTCATGTGTCTTCATTGATTCATTTAATTGTGAGATATTTAATGGAATTTGAGGCTCAATATTTTTGGTGTAATCATTTTCGTTAAGTGCTTCGACTGAATAGTTATCATCATTTTTATTATAATTAGGGTGCACTTGAGTCTCTGCAGAATTGTTTGAATTGCCAATATTAGGTAATGGACTCAGTCGAGTTAAAGCGTTATAAGCATCGATGAAATCATTTTCTGATTGTAAAAAATCTGTAGGATTTTGTTTTAAACTTCTGTTATTAATGTTTAATTGTGTGTATTTGTCAGTATTTACATTGCTTTGATTTGCTAACAAGCCTGTAAGAAGTAATTGTTCATTTATATTTGGGATTCCAGCTTGTAATAGGAGTGATTTTAGTTTTTGGGCGATATCTTCTGTTTCTCGATTTTCAATTTCAGTTTGCGGTACTGTTGAATAATGTTCGTAATGATTGCTTTTATTGTTATCAAGTGGTAAATACATCCAGTCGTCGTCTGGAATTATTGCTGGGGGCATCATTTCAAGCTCATCTGAACTTTCTTCGGCTGAAATGTAAATGTGGAGGTTATGATGATTTAATGTGACGAAACGGCGAAACAATGATATTTTATTAGTTTGGTTTCTTTTTAAGATTACCGCGCATGCGGTGTGAGCGGTCGATGGGTGGCACTGCATCGTCCTCCACGCCAGTTGGTGAGCCCCAGACGTGACCGCGCATGCGACCCTCACTCCCAACGCCTAATGTTTCTGCCTGGAAAGATAATATACAGGATGGCTTTTCTAAGTGTATCCATTTTTTTGTATTGAATTCTAGACATAAATCTAATATATAAAATTCTCGTGTCACGGGGTTCGAACTTGAACTCCTCCGAAACGGCTCGACCGATTTTTGTGATCCTTAGCGTGATTGTCGGCCAGGGTGGTGAATCGGCCAACGGTGAATTTTTCATCCCCCTAAATGTTAAGGGTAGTCCACCCCTAATTTTTATTTTTTATTTTTAGGCAAAATTTTTTGTTTTTATTTTTTATGACACAGCATACAAAAAAACATACAACCCTAAATTTTCACCCCTCTACGCAGACGTAGTCGCGGGCAGCAGCTAGTAATGTTATATAAAAAATGATAAATATTTAAAATCACTCGTAAATAATTGTTTACATTCATTTGAACTTATCTCAAAAAGTGCGTGATTTATACGCAACTCATTTATATTACGTCAAAAAATCTCCCTGTATATGTGTATTGTATATATAAGCCTGTAAAATCTTACATCATGCTTAAAATTTGATCTCTGGAAACCCTCACCTGCCGGCGCCACTTTTCTACGCAATCGGTGACAGCAGGCCACATGGCACCGCGATGTCTCGCTAGCGCTGTCCGAGCTTCTCGCTCACTGATAACAGAGCCGGGTGCCAGCCGAATTGCTGCCGCTCGTACTCCGGCGCACAGGCTGGGCCACCGTTCGCGCAGCCACGCCAACGGCGCTGCGGGGTTTTGGGCCAGGGCCGCATGCACTTCCGCTGCACTGAACCCGAGCTTCTCCGCTTCTCCCATTAGCCGCGCCAGTTCCAATCCCCTTTCGGTGTCTCGCCGAACACCGGCGCCGGCCAACGCTTCCAGCGAAACCGCTCTGTTTCCGGAGAATGGTTCAGGTGACGGAGCCTGTGTACGTAAATTAAACTATTTACGTCTCTGTTATTAAAAATTCACCTCTCACGATTTACACGTAAAACAATTCATTTTCAACATTGTAATTAATTTATTTTTTTCCTCTTAAAAAACTTAAGTAGATTGCCATTTTGGCAAAAAGTACGTGTCAAGTTTTGAATCACCAATTAATAGGAAAAAAAAGTGACAAGAAAAAACCTAAAAAAGTCAAACCTCAGATCCATAGACGCTGGAGCGGCGTGAGGAGCGCGTACGACGGAGGTCCATGTGTGAGGCGCGACGCGTGAGTCGTTCGGTAGGGCGCCGCTCACTGCCACTCCACTCAGCCCCAGGGCTACTGTCGCGCGGTTCGCGCCACTCCCATCTTCCCGGCCCCAAATTGCTGCCGCCGCCACCAGTTCGTACACTTCTCTCGCTCTCCTAATTCATGCAACAGATGTGTCTCAAAGGACTTCACATCTTGAGATAAAAAAACCTGATTACATCTTTTAGACATGCGACCATCAAGCTGCTCAAGTTTTTTTTCATTATGTTATTAAGTTTTATTTCATTACCCTTCCATTATGTTCATATTTCAATTAAACATATTTTATTATATATGTATGTATAATATGTTATTTATTTTAATAAACATGTATAATATGTATTTATAATACACAATGTATTTATGTATAATAAACAATGTGTATGTACATGTAGGATTAATTATTTAATAGTTGAGTAAAAGATGATTTTTGAACGAAGTATTGTGTGAATGAGAAGGATGGATGACGTAAAAGGGATTGAGGGACTTTTTCGCAACGACGCCACGAACGAGTAACGTGTATCTGTGTCTTAAAATGTATTAATTTAAATAAAGATGAAAATAGTAACAATATACTCAAAATAAAGATTTTATTTATCCTACGCCTACATACATGTGGAATAAAACAATTTAAATTTTTACAGTGTTTATCTCGGCATTAGACATGAAAAATCATTTTTTTTGTAGAAAAATAATGAAAAGTTATTTGAATCGAACCCACGGATCTTCCGGACCACTAAGCTAAACGGCTGGTTGCTATACCGACGAAAATCTCAACGTCTTTTATCTACATTGTTTTTTTTATTCGCGTTTCAAGCAATGCTTGGTGCATCTACCAGTGGAAACGTGAAAACAAAAACATCTACGTGCAAACCACAAAATGAATCAGCCACGTGATAAATTAAGCTTAATACAGTACTAAAACGGAAAGCAGAAGCGTCTTTCAACAAAGCGAAGATACATACCCGTGTGTCACTGGAGAGGGAATGTCGGCTGTGCGAGCGCTCGCGGCGGCCTTCTTCACGGATTCGGCGGCGAGCGCGTGAACGGGTCGCAGATGGGGCCCGTTCCCATTCACGGCTACTCGGTATTTCGTACGTCTGATGACAATTAGAAATACCGATTAGAACGAAAAAAGTTATCAAATATTCTTTAATATTATTTGTACAATTGAGAGATCTAATTCTTTAGACAAAATCTTGGAAAAATAGTCAATAATATTAGTAAAAGCCATTAGAGAGCAAAGTATTGGACTCAGCATCAGTCTTCCTTAGTTATAAAAATTGCGTTTAAACTATCGTTATTTTGACTTATAGACGAGAGACATAATATATTCTCTATGTCTCACTAAAAAGTAACATTAAAAGCGATGTTATTTTGTCTACAAATAAGTCTGGGATTATTTTGAAGTTATGAAGATTTATTCACCTGCGTTGATATGCTTTGAGGCGGGGGAGAAGTGCCAGTATTAGACACATTTGCCCGGCTTGATGTAGAGGAACGAAGACTCGACGGTGTGTCAATACGATTTTCTCGCGGTGGTGACGTGCCAGTGGACTTTTTTTTATTGTTCGATGATGTTTGGTTGTAGGACATTTTAGTTTGATCGCGAGGTGGTGACGGGCCGACTGATATACTATGACGAGTAGGCTCTTCGTTTTCAGACACATTGTGTCTGTACGGCGATGATCTAATCTTTGTGGATGATGTTTTGGGAACGTCATTACTCTGAGTCTTTGTCTGGATTTCCTTAGGGGGTGAAGGACCCACGGCCATATCGTGTCGTGTTTGACGGTTTTCTATTATACTGGCGGTTTCATCTCGCGCAGGCGTCGCTAGCCTGCTTAATGGTTTTTGAACTCTCTCCTCTTTAGGTGGAGACGGGCCACATGCTGTTGATGTTCGCTCTTTAATTTTTTTTGTTTTAGATTTTTCTTCCCCTGTAATGAATAAAGATTAGAATGTATATAACATTTTTAGGCTTTCATTTTGCTGACCGCTTTTTTATATCGTGTGCTTAAAGTAACAGCCTATACATATCCCACTGCTGGGCAAAGGCCTCCTCTATACAGAGGATATCAGGGCATAGTCCACAACGCGGCCCCACTACGGATTGGCGGACTTCACATATTTCGAAATATACATTTTTTTTATTATTATTTCGAAAATATGTAGGTTTCCTCACGATGTTTTGCTTCACCGCGGAGCACGTGATAAGTCAGCACTTAAAGTTAAAAACTTCATTGGTGCCGGCACCGGGGATCGAACTCAGGTTGCTCGAGTATATTGAATTAAAGGCGATCGCCCGGACACTGAGCTATCACGGCTCATCGGCTCACGGCTATCGTGTGCTTATAACATTATAATATAATGATGTAAAGCAAAACGGATACCATGTTATAAGTAAAAATTATACGTCATCGTTCACACTGACCATTTTTAACAACAGGTTCTTCTAGAGTCGATCGTGCGATTGATGGAGATCTATTATCAGAGATTTTCAATTGTCTCATTCCGCTTTTGACGGCGGCGGCGTTGATTATTTTCGGCGTGATAGTAGGGGTTCTGCAGCACACGACACAGACTCGTACTCCCGGTTCGTTGACGAAGGTGCAATGCTCGCACTGCCAGGTTGCGCTGGGCGGCGGCGGCGGCGGGCCCAGATGGTCCTCCTCATTAACGTGGCTGCCGTCGCTCCCCAACTCGCTTTCTGAATCTGCGTCGCTGGAGGGGAGGGGGGGCGGCGAAGGCGTGCGGTGCTTAGGGCGCCGTGAGGTTCGCGACCGAACACTCATAGCTGGCGACGCCGCTCGGGAGCCAGCCCGCGATGCCGCTCGTGATACCGCTCGGCTGTCGGCTGGATATTGAAACAAATCCAATTTACTAATTTTGAGAAAATTGAAATTTATTAAACACGAGCGGGCGGTGCACCCGATGTTAAGTGACTACCGCCACCCAAGGACATCTACAAGGGACAAGGTGTATTTTGTTTACGCGGGCACATTATTAATTAAAATTTATTTTTGTATTAGTATTTAAAGTAAATTTCAATTCACGTCGTCTCGCATACCTTGGAACATACATGGTCACAGGATGGTGTAACGCCGCCGCCCGACTGGATTAGATTGTTTTCTTCATCATTGAATAAGATGAGAATGAAATATTATTCAACGAACTACGTCCAGTCAGGAATTCGCCCGATCTATTCCTGACTGGATGCAGACTATTTGTGTATATCGTATAATTTAGTATGATTCATACTACTACATTTACATATATATACATTTTAATTTAAAAATAAATGAGGGATTTTGAAATTTCTTCAGAACAAAGTGTGATACCTCTGCGATACGGTTGCGGCGTTTGTGGTGGATGCGCATGTGGGTGCACCGGTACCCGAGCGTTTTGATGTGGATGGGGGCCGACGCAACAAGTCGGGGGCCAAGGGCCGACCCAGTTGTGGTCGAGGCTAGCGCAGCTCCCGTACCGCCATGGCTGCCCCATGCAATGGCTGCATCCCGCGCAGCTGGGATTTGCAGGAGGTCCTACACCCAATTCCATAACGGATGTCCCCCTCCTTAATGGCCGGCCCCACGATTGGGTGGATGGTTGAGCGTTTTCTGATGTGTCCCAAGGCTCTCCCGGTATCATAGACTGGGGACAAAAGACGTTCATCAAAGTGAGCTTTCAAATAAGAATATTTTTTTTAATAATAAGTTCTTAAGAATATATAATTTAAGTTAATTCAATGAAAGATTGTTATCCGTAATGTATCTGAAAATTTTGTATTTTTATATCATATATAATCGTGTAGCTCAATTAGGAAGATTTGAATAGGTGTGCACGAGTATGGCACGTTGAGTTTGTAAAGCGTGTAAAGCAAACCGTTGTGTCAGAACATGTCGAACGCATTCGCGATATCAAAGAAGAGGGCACCGGTACTATGGGTTTGGGGGGACTGAGTCCTTTCAGGATTTGCTCCATCAGACGAAATATCTTCGTGGGACAAGAGTAGTTTGGGCAAAAGCCGAATCGTTCGAGCACAATAAGGTCGTAGGAGAAGGAATCTTTTTAAAAATGTGCTTATCTATAATAGTAGTAAATTTATTAATCTATAATAGAATTTCTTTATGAAGATTTTTTTAATTTGTTTTAAGTTTTATTAATTAACCATTAAAATGCTTCGAAATGTTTTTTATACTCTTTAAGCCTTTCCCAAATTAGTTTGTGTAAAAGTGGCGTTTGACATTACTGTAGTAAATTGAATCCAGCCTGAATTTTTTTCAGCGTAAAAAACAGCCGGTGTTCTTCCATCAACCGCATATGGAGCCGTTAGTTAATATTTGAACATGCTTTAATTGCAATAATATTGTACCATGTTCGGTGGTATAAATCCGGGCAATGACGCCCGCTGACGGCCCCAAGCGTTAGGCACGTGTCCAAGAGTGTTAGATTGCTCCTGCGTTGATACGACAGGTGCCGGGGTGTGATGCATCGTCGCAGACAGATATGGCAAGCTGCCGAGATGACTCGCATGGGCGTTTTGCGCTACGTTCATTTGGAGATGCGCGGGCATAGTCGGATGTTGGGCCCGTTGTGTGAAGTGGTTTGGGTTGGACACCGGCGCAGCTGGCGCGTGCATCCCGGATATCTGATTTTGTGACATCGAGTTCAGGGTTACGCGGCGATGATCCGGCGGGGGCAGCCTAGGGCTGGCACTCGACCTGTCGCCACTAATCTGAAATGTAATATTCCGTAAGCATGTTAAGACGTAGAAGTTTTATCGATGTTAATGCAAGAATTCTCTTAGGTTTGGATACCATTGAGTTGTTTATGTGACTATTATCATATGATGCCTACAGATACACAATAATAAATCCGCATTTTAAATGTAAGCCGTAATAGCTCATTGTCGGGGGGCTCACTTTTAATTCAATATACTCGAGCAACTTGAGTTTGTTCTCCGGTGCCGGCACCAATGAAATTGTTAATTTACAGTGCTGATTTTTCACAAGCTCGGCTATGAAGGGCAAAACCTTCGAAATAATCATAAAATATTTCGAAGATATGTGAAGTCCGCCAATCCGCAGTGGGGTCGCGTGGTTGACTATGCCCTTGTACCCTGTACAGAGGAGGCTTTTGCTCAGCAGTGCGACATGTTTAGGCAACAGTAACAACTTTACTTTACTTTTTTTGAATGTAGAAATATAGGATGTTGTTCTTCAGGTTCAAACGTTGTGTATAAAATTTCATTAGAAGTCATTGAAATATTTTATCACGCTACTAGCTGTTACCGGCGGCTTCACCCGCGCGCCCTTAGGGAATTAACAATGAGCTTTTTATTATACACTACATATTTGACACTTATCATTACCTATATTTTATTGAAACCTTGTACAATTCACGCAATATATATTGCATTATATATTATATATTATAGCCTATATGTAGCATTATACAGCGTGTCGTTACCATCGCGACAATAAATAAACACACATATAGGGGATAACTTTTTTAAGTTGTATTAAACATCAATATTTACCGAGTTATTAAATTTTCCAAAACAAAGAATTTTAGAACACCTTTACCTATAAAAGCGTAACGTAAAATTCATTTGTAGAGGTCACAAAGTATATGAATGGGTTGAATGAATTTAAAAGAGACAAAACATACTGTTAGAAGGAGAGGCTTGTAATACGACGCTGTGGCGCGAGTTGTATAGGATAACATTGCATACTCTAGCTATTGTGTTGTAAATACACAAATTAAAACATCTATCGCTTATATTTTTTTCTTAAATAATAATATTTTCTAATGTGTAATATTTGTTTACCAAGAATTTATTTATAAATAAATATCACCTTGTGTTTCCGTGGCGGAGGTACGGGTGGACCAGTCTTCGGTGGTAGAGGAGGACGTTCATCACGCAGTTGAGATAGAGACAGAGCCTGTTTGTTAAAATTAAATTTAGAAACCTCAACCACGTTATAACCCATGGTTATCATTTGTCTCATATACGAGACCTTTTAATCACAGGCGACCGGCGTGAAGTAAAAGTGTCATACCTCTGCGTTTTGTCTGGTGAGTAAGGTAGCCGGGGCCCACTTTATTAAAAGGTGGCAACGCACTTGTAATTCTACGGGTATTGCAAATGTCCAGGGGTTATTACTTAATATCATTTGTACCGCCAGCTCGCTTGCCATCTTATTCCATAGAAAACATCTAAGTTTGCAAGAAATCTATAATTCAGCTAAGAGCTTGGCTCATGTTCAACGTAGTGACGACTGCATATTAATTCACTATTACGACTTATTCCTAAAACAAAATATTTTAAAACATTGAACTCGTTCGAATTATCGTTGTAAAACGATATTCGAAATTGTTTGTATGCTGGAAAGGATATCACAATGGATGCGCCAAGCATTGCTTCAAATGCTATAAAAACAATGTAGATAAAAGGCGTTAAGATTTTCTGTGTGCCATTCAGCCGTTTAGCTTAGTGGCTAAAGCATCAGACCGCGAATGCCGAAGACCTGGGTTCGATTCCCACAGTGGCGACAATGTTTTCGTACTTTTTCTACAAATTATAATGTTAAATCTTAAGTGCAGAGATTAGCACGATTAAAAAAAATTAAATATCGCTGTATGTACTTTAACTAAGACTTAGGGTTAGGCTTTACTTTACTTTTTTAAAAGCTTGGTATTGTTAAAATGTAAGTTATAATGTCGGACTTTGACCTTAGCACTTCTTTAAAGAATCCTAAACGGTTCTCTACTTACTTGTAATGGTCAATTATGAGTTTCATAATTGACTAACTTGATTGAACTAACTGATGGGTTTACTAACTAACACGTTTGCTTGTCAATATATAACAATCGTTGAAAATTGGAAACTTTTGTGTTTAAAAAGTACCAAGATAGAGATAAGTTTCAGTGTCATGCACTGGCTCTTTATGAAGCACCTGGGTCTTCCGAAAGACTGGAATCAATTAGAATTAGTTATTTACACTCTTACGATTACGTTAAATGAAGTTATCTTAGGCTTGCATCGACGGAAACGACTCTGCAATCCGTGTAGACATACAGACGCTCTTAAGTAGCGGTCATCACTTACACCATCGGTACCATGTTTGTCAGCTTCTGCTATGGAAAATGAGGATACTTGTTTTGACCTGGCGCTGGTGGTGGCGGCGTTTGGGATGCCGGTGGTACATGTCATCGCAGGAGGCACAGAGAGCACGTCGGCCGCATTCAGCACAGCGAACCCTGGCTCCGCCACCGCCACATAAGCCGCACGAAGCCTCCAGGGGGTGGCCTGGTATTTTTGATATAAAGAATTTCTATATAGATATTTCAAAGCTATATAGAGTTCACTAATTCACTATGGGACTACGTGGCCAACTGTCTCTTGGGCTTGTGTAGTACATATACGAGTGTAGTATACGAGTACGAGAACTAATACATAAAGGTTATTTATACAACAAAGTGGTATAATTTACTTTATTTCGTGTACCTGTGGGCGGTCGTGGTGGTGGCGGTGGCGGCGGCTGCAGTTTCGCATTGACGTATTGTTCCGAAGGGAATTCGACCACCTCGTAGTCCGGTTCGGGCTTGGTCAATGGCGGCCGATGCGTTGCCGACCGTATCGACATAGTCGGTGTGGGGGGCACCGCGGCTCTGGGATCCCTACCTCGCCCTTTCAACATCTAAAAGGCAGCAACAATAGAGCTAACAGTCATCACTGTCTATGTTCTGATACAGACATATTACGTGTGTATATATAGTGTTATTATGCGTCAGATATATTACTTAAATATCATGAAAAACTATGGCGGCTAGCTTTTATGCGAAACTTCGATAACACGGTCTTACTAAATATAGCGTCTTATCTATGTCCAGTTCAAATCATTCAAATTCCTTCAGACCTAATGATTAAAAATAGAAAGTCAATACACGAAAGAAAGAAACAAACAATGGAAAGTTGCCCTAAAGTCTTATGGGAATGGATACTATTAATCAGTAATAAAAAAAAAGAAGATAAACAATGTATATAGCAATTGATATAAACAAAGACTGGTAAAGGGTATGTTTTAAAAATAATCACTTTATTGGCATTAAATTTAATGCGTATTAAACTCGAGCGTGAAAAGATTTAAGTGTATGCTTCTAAAACACTATTTTCGTTTTTCATTTGAATGATTAATTTCCCTTTCTATTACGAATTCTAGATACAGTACTACATACATAATTTTCAAACAAAAGAAACATAAAGAATATAAATATTTGAGCTAAGTTTAAAGAGGCTGGAGAAATGCTTTTGTTGATCTAAATTACGTATTAGGTTATACTCATTTACATGCAAGTGGCTTAGGACCGTGCTTCGTGGCAGCCTGTGGGGTAGGCCTATGTGCTGCAGTGAACTCAAATAGGCTGAAATTATAATGATCATGATGATTACACATTCGTGTTTCAAACAGTAGAGTTAGTATTTATGTATTTGACATCGAAAATATTAACGTAAACAATGAATGTTTAATTTAATTTGATGTATCTATCTTCTCTATCTGAACTTTAACTATGTTATTATATGTTACCGTGCGCGTATCTTATCCTTTAAACGAGCAATTCTTGTATATATATATATATATATATATATATATATATATATTATATATATATAATCAGAATCTCGGAAACGGCTCCAGCGATTTTCATGAAATATAGTATGTGCGTAGATTCGGGGGCTAAAAATTGATCTAGCTAGGTTTCATTTTTAGAAAATGTCCTTATATCCCTGTTTTCAGGGAATGAAAAATATCATTCGAATATGACGGTAAATTTCGCCGCAAAAAAAGTGTTATAATGGCTCGGTCGGTAATCGGGCGGACCCGAAACAGAAGGCCGTGGTTCGTGTCACGATCATTTACACACTTACTTTTTTACTTTTTTTTCGATTCCAGATCATTGCTTTCTTTATTTTTTATTTTTTGTCGATCCAGATAATTTTGTTATTTTTTTCCCTTTTTTTTAAAGTTCTTTCTTTTGTAAAAAACACCAATTCATATTTTCTTATTATTACGTCGGTAAGATTGAAAAATATTATGCATATTTCAGTACTCAGTAATTCTTATCTAAATGTAATTTCCAAAATACACGATTTACAAAAAAACAAAGAACAAACCGAGCAAAGCTCGGTCCTCCAGGTACTTATTTTTAAAAAGGGATCATAAGATCTTCCACTTGTTAATATTTACATGAAAGCTTTTACCCACTTGCGTGACTCTTCTGCGTGGTGCAAAGTGAATAAATAGTGCTATAAATATAATATTTTTCATATTCTGCGTATAGATTTTATTTTAACTTTAAATCCGTTCAGTTAATGCTACGCGAGGTGGTAGTAAACAACACAACTTATCTTATATTACTTGTTGTGGGCTACGTCATTTCTCTAAATTTTTATGTAATATTCTTGTATGTACATTTGGTGGCAGCCATGGCTTTAAAGACGATGTCAGTAGAGTATATAATGGTCTCTTTTGAAGGCAAATGGGTAAATTTACCTAAGTAAAGTTCCGTTTGTTCTCAGTACCGACGTCAACCCTCATTGTGAACATATACCCAGATCGAGAACATTTGTCTATGGATCACACAAAAAAATGCACCTACGCTACGATTTTTCCGTATTTCGGATTTCATATTGGTGACTAAGTAAGTTCAGTGAAACTTGAAGGAACGTTCTTTCTATGCTTAAAATGTATAATGATCATCTCCCACCGTCGATAAATATAATTCAACGAATGTAATTAGTCAAGACTTAATAATGAATGCTATGACTTAATAATAAATAGCTGGGAAGTCCAAAAATTGTTCGATGTATGTTTTCCAGTATATATCGCTCAATGTAAACATTGTAAATGTAAGTTTGGGTTTAGTGACCTTCATCTTTTATTTATTACACATGTTTATTACACATGTAAATTATTGTATTATGCAAAGGAGTGCTGCCTTTTTCATTAGCAGGTATAAAAATATTTGTAGGGTCGAGTCTTACTTTACATTCATAAGTGTTTATGTCCTGCAGGTAACAAATTTATGACTAAAATGTTATATATTTTTATCGAACAGAAATAATAAAAAATTTAACACGCTTTGGTTTAAATCCGCAAACGGTATACGGGGCAGAGAAGTAGGTCACGTCAAAAATAATGGTGATGAAAATACCACAAACCCGTGAACTTTTTGTGCATCAAATTAAAATTCTATTATTTTTGTTTTATGTCTATGTATTTTGCCTTTTAACTAACATTGTATCGTCATTGTAATTTAGCTAATCGTAATATATATTTTGCATTAAAATATGTAAAAAACCGTACCCACGTGTAATCTAGCACAGTACATATTTTACAATTGGAATTGTCTAATCACGAAATTATACTTCTAACGGAGAAAGAGGCCGGAGAAGAGAATGTATTGTCGGGAGTGTAAAGTTTTCAGATTTTACTTAAAAACCTGTTACAAAGTACACACTGGATAAATGGTTCTTTTAATGTCAGTATTTTATCATAAAACATCAGTTTATATAAATTTTATCCAAACAAAACGTAAAATGCCATTCTAACTTAGCAAAAACTATTAACAATTTTTATTATTCATCACTTACAGTTCGGCGGGTTATTTTATGTAATCGATAACTAAGACAGCATTAAGGACCTAAATAATTTATTTAGGTACTTTGTGTTTATTAAATAACCCAAATCGAGAACAATTGTCTGTGGTTCACACAAAAAAATGCACCGTGTGGGAAATGAACCCACGAAGTGCGCAAGTCAATAGCTTCGTAACTGATGCAGATCCTGCTGTAGAATAGAACATGTACATATGTATGTATTATGGTTTGAAAAACTATCTACCTATATTTATTAAAATTTGGAATGTAAAAAAATGCACCAAAAGTGTTTCTCCACTGCCGGAATCGAATCGGGAATTTTTAGGTACTTAGTGTTTATTAATAATTCTAATAAACAGTTTTAACCTAAATAAATTAAATAATGGTTTATTAAATGCAAATATGAACACGTCTATATTGCATGTTCCGAAACCTGTACATTTTAATAATAGAATATTCATTATCATGTGCATACAAAACGGCAGCTGTGACCGGGATAGACCGGGCGTTGCCGCGTCGCCAACGCCTCGTCGACCCATTTATTCCGTCTCACATATCCCAAAATACCGAAACTATTCTACGTGCTTGCTATATTTCATTTCTATTGGAAAATTATTTTAACACAAAGCGTCTGATCCGTTCGCGTCCGCGTACTTGCCTTTAAATTGCGCAGCGTTCGTTAACAGCAACAGAATCCGGGGCACTTCGATTTTCAATCCATCACAAGACCTTCGATATCGCGTATATTAAGCGGAATATAGCTGAGTGTAAAAAATGTTAGTAAAATTACGTAACTGTAAAAAAGGAGCACTCGCGGGCGATAGGGCTCCGGGGCCCCAGGAGCGGCGGCGCTCCGCACGCGAGTCTCGCTTTCTGGACGGCAGCTAATCGTGCACCCTATCCGGACGAAATTGACAGCGCGAAGACGCGTGCGCCGCCGTCGACTATTTCTGTCCGCGGCCGCGTTGCCCCGATTTCACTAAAATTACGATCTTTCGCTATTTCCGCACTCGACTCAATGCGCCCTCTAGGTGTTAAGCATCTCGCGAATTAACTTCTGCTAGATGAATCTAGTTCAGAAGCATTTATTCTGGTTACACTTAGTATTTAGATACATGACAGAAAATACGAAATACTCTTGCTGTTAGTTTAACTTTGTAACGACTAATAATATTTTTTCCTTTCAGTAAATAAAATATTCATTATTATAGTGACTAAGTACAAAATTTGTTAGTAATAGTTGATATACTTTTTATCAAATTTTATCATGTGCTTAGTATTAAATTTGTTTCTTTCGGTTGGAATAAAAATGTATTACGCTGGCTGACAGTATAAACAATGTAACATTCTATTCAATGCATGCCTGGTAACAATATCGCATAGATATTATAGACATAAATTACTATTCTATTTTTGAATTTGTAACACGTATTGTCGTGGCAACTAATTGTAAACAAATAGATTGTCAGACGAGTTAAGAGATAATTACGGCATGGAGATACTGAAAAAGTATAAGCAAAATGGTTATTTTACACCCGAATTGTTTCACTTACTCTGTAAGAAAAAGTTGGTGGAAGCATCTGAAGAAGTGAGATTTACCTTAAGTGATAACATAATTTGAATACCTCATAAATTGAAAAACATTTTGAAAGCTTATTACAGTATTTCAACATCAACTTTCATTGCATTTGTTTACGGCGTTATGTTACATTTCTCGCAGATTACTCCCTCCGAGTATGAAAAGGAAATGAGAATGAGCACAGCAGAACGAATCCAAAGTCTAAATAACATTATCATTGAAAACATCGTTTTAAACGACAAAGACAAGAAACACGTTACATTGTCGTTTATGCCGAAAATATTAGTATTTCAAAATTTTAAACCTAACGAAAAAATTATTGCAAGGTTTTCTGTGAAAAATATAAGCACGGTAAGTAAACACTTTTTCTGATAATTTTATGAATAAACAAGAATTGAAGTCGAATGAAAAACATGTTTTAGGCGCCAACTTACTTGAAAATGGTTTTCAAGGAGTCATCGCATTTCTCTGTTAAATTGAATAGAGATCAGCCTTTGTCCCGATTGGCCCCAGGCATGAACGTTTCTTTCAGCGTTACTTTTGCGCCGAGTCAGGTGGAAGATTACATTCATTATATTACCTTTAACACTGATACGGAGCAATATGTTTTACCTTTGATTGGTTAGTAATTTATAAATTCCTATTGATATTTAGTAACATTAATTGAACTTAACTAAAATACGAATATATTATTTGTAAAGCTCTCGGACCAAGACCAATATTTAATTTTCCCGATCAAGTGGTAATTCCAAAAGTGCCGTTGAAGGTTGAAAGAGATTTTTTCTTAATTGTACGTAACGTTGGCATGGTAGCTTCGGGATTTACATTGGATGCTAAATGGTACGTAGGGTACGGTATACTGTATACATGTAGTGTTAAACGTTTAACCGTTGTTTTTTTTTCCTAGCCCTTTTTCCATCGAACCGAAATCAGCTTATCTTAAGTGCGAAGAAAAAATTGAAATAAAGATTACATTTAAAACAATGCATTTAGGAACTGTGCACGGTGTTCTGCGTGTGGCATTTGAAACAGGTAGTATTAATTTAAGACACTAACTTAAGCCACAATATCAATGTTTTGGTAATCGCTTCGATTGCTGTATCATTGCAGGAGAAATATTTAAAATCAAACTGTCCGGTACGGCACATGCCGTACCTTTGGAACTAGAAAAGCAGGCGATACGGATGTCGGATACTTACAATGGTTTAGTGCGCCAAGAAACATTGAAAATCAGAAACAAATCGGATTATATATTAACATACGTTTGCATGAAGAACGAATTTGTTTACTATGGTATCTTTTTTATTTGCAATGAACATTTCATTCAACCTCTGTAAAACTTTGCAACACTTGCATATTTTTCAGATTTTAAAGACAAAGTTAAACTTGCGACAGCATTTTACAATCTCAAAGAGAGCGAAGCAGCTAAATGCGCGAAACTTGTACGTTACGATGTACTAAGCAGTGCCGAGCATGAAAGGGTTTACACGCGAATATTTTATGACGAAATAGAAGCGCTTGTAGCGGACGAACAATTATATTTCAACGATACCCATTTTTCCATATCACCCATCGTTAGTATTTGTTTGTTATTTATTAATAAGATGTCATTATCTAGCAATTTCACCACACAGTTTTATCATACGCGCTCCCCAAAGCATTGAAAATAAAATCAAGGTATAGCACGGATTTAATCGCATGAAGTATTCATTGATTCCTCGCCGCTCTGATTGTTATAAAACCCATTTCAGTTTTAGAAAATCGATTATGATCGTTTGACTATTATTGAAATCTATTAGGTACGATTTGCTTGAAACTTAAAACATATTTTTATGTGTATTATTCTCATTCTTGAGAGTTACCTGTGTAACCATTTCCTATATTTCAGAAAGGTAAATTATGGCCAAATAAAACTAGCGAAATAACTATAACATTTTCCCCAAAACAAATAAGAGAACTGGAAGCTTTGGCCTTTTTGGATATAGATGGTGTAGTCGATCGAGTACCATTAAAGCTATCTGGAACATCATTGCCACCCGCAATTCATTTAAACGTGGAAACTCTTAACGTGGACTACGTTTACATAAATAAAAAATATAATTACGAAATTGTAGCCATTAACACAGGTCAATAATTTAACATGCTTTTTTATAGTACTCGTATAAGTCTCTAATTATTCATTTGTAAATTTAAACATGAATAATATTACTATTCATGTACTATACCTATTTGAGTTTTATAACGATGTCAAGTAGTGAAGAAACCGATGAAGAATTATGAACCTTCGGGATATTATTATGCACAATATGTTTTTATTGTGCATCATAATTATTAATTTAGTTGTGACTACCCAAGATTATAAAAATTGGTAGCTCGATGACCGTGCGTTCGATTTCAGTAAAGTAAATATATATGTAAATGTAAATATATTGGAGCCGTGATAGCTCGATCCGGGTGCTTGCTTTATTACAATGTACTCAACCAAAAGAAATTATGTATTCCAAAATATGAGGTCCTCCAATACGCGATGGGGTTACGTGGTGAATTTTGCTATAATAAATATCCTCTCCTATAGAGGAGGGCGTTACCCAAAAGTCGCACATGTTACATTGTTACTGCTCTCTGTGTATCTGTTACTTTATTCTAAAGTATTCTAGAGTGACTGGATTTCAAATCTTGTAGCTCAGAATTTGTTCATTGGTTTAAAACTTTGAAGTGTAATTGTAGCTTGCCTCGTTTTGCAACCAGCCATTAACGCTGCCAGTTAATCACTTACTAATTGTGTTTGTTTGCCAACGTTTTCATACAAAAAGTTGCAGTTTTAGCGTTGATTTATTTCGAGGTAAACGGCAGAACTATTGTGACGAAACTGGTATATTTAAGATATATTCAAAAACGTATACTATATCAAGCATGTAGAGTCTGTAGTGGGATCGCTTATGTATTTTTGCTTGGCGCCACAGTCTTAAGAGTTATTAAAATGTTCTTTTTTTTTTTTTCAAAAAACAGGCCATATTAACGGCGAAATTTTGTATAAGGATGCAGTCACCCTGTTTGAAAGTAAAATAACTTGTACACCCGGGTGCCGATTTCTCCCCCCTGGTAGTAAAGATACTTTCGTGATTTCCTTCTTCAATTCAAATCCGGGGCCGTTCTTTGAAGAGATTAACTTCTTCATTCGAGATACGGACGTACATTTAAAGGTGTATTTGAAGTAAGATATTGTTATTCATTTATACAAAATTATTTTTATTTTCTAACTGTATTAATAATAAGTATTTTTTTAGGGGAGAAGTTATTTACCCGTCGATAAAATTCAGTGTATCCTCGTTGGACTTTGGTGACGTAAGTTTAGGTAAGTAAATTATACGTGATCAATTAAAGTGATCTAATGGTTGATCCTAATTGTGTATATGGTTTGATTCCCTCACGGGAAATCCAAGAAAAGTTGACGTGAACCAGGTGGCCTATCGTAAAATACAACTAAGAACATAACACGTTTCACATATTGTACCGACCCCACTTAGGTTGTTGTTTGGTTGGAGGATGATGATCTTAATTACAAAAACCACTATCTAACAAATGTGCTCTATCATCATTTAATGTTCCTAGATTAAATAATTCATGTAGTTGTAAAGATATACTATTTTGTTATAGGGGTACCCAAAACATTATTTTTGGATGTAATTAATGAGTCTAATGTAGAAGTTAGGGGTACTATCAAGATACCGTCGGATGGATTAGATATAAATAGTATAACGTTAACTGACTACGCTGCGGCCGGTAGTCCTAAACCAGAACTACCTAGATGGCCTAAGGAATTTAAGATTGAGCCCACAAATATTGCCATAAGTTCTGAATCTGAAATCACTTTAAAAGTAAGTTTTTCATTACGTTGAATTTATTTATAAATTATTTACACGTATTTTCAAAGTTTCTTTTTACAGCAGTTTCTGTACATTTTGTAATAACATAATATTTCATGTAATTTTTGTCAAGTTTGAACAAATTAAATTTTGTTTGAACAAATCAAATTAATTTAAAAAAAATTCCCTAAGATAATAGAGGATGTTATAGACTATGCAATATTTACCATTTCCTTTTAATATTTGATTTATATTGTTTCTGTTCAATATTTAATTTCCAAAAATAATAATGAAATTTATAATTTTCTGAATAGTCGTAAACTAATGTTCAAGTTATTTAAAACTGATGTTTAATTTTAAGAACAATAAAACTCTAATAAACGAGGCGACGTTTCTAATTTTGTATATTTTTAATGTTCCACATCTTAATATATTACCAGATGTGTTACAGTAAATCTGTAGATACCTTTATATAATATGTTCCGGAAATCTGTATAGTCTAGTATTCTATACAATACCTAGGCAAAGTATGGAATACCTAACACGTTTTGGTGATGTATGAAATATTATTTTATATTACATAATTTGCCTGTATCTATGAAATATCCAATACGTAACACAGCCTGTATGTCTAAGAGATGACAGTTGAGAAGGGGGAAACATGCGTAAAAGCCGGGAATAAACGAGTTTTAGCTCGTTTACTTGCTTTTGTTTCATTCGGGGGAGGCAGCTTTAGAGTCATGACACAGGCAGGTGCAGATGCGGGAATCGAGGAGTTGACCACTATGACCCGAACATTGTTTCAAGGGTTGCACCGTCCCTCTGGGAAATGTTGGTTTATGTCGGCTTGGACGGAATGGCGATGACGTTAACCTGGACATAATATTGGACGCCCCGCTTTCACCCCTTATTTCACGGATTTAGAAAGGAGCACCCTTACTAAATACTAAAAATGTCTGATTGTTGTTTTGCTTTTGTTTTATCCGTTGACCGGTTTGTTTGCAGAAATTGCGTTGTGTAAAATTTTGTGACATTACTGGAATTGGTATTTTGTAGTATTCATTGAGAAATAAATTATTGAGAAGTGATGCTTTTGTGTTTTTAGTGGAGATAAAGTTGTGATTTGTGAGACTGATACTCCTTTGCGATACTGACGATGTTTTCATTTTAATTTAAACCTTAAATGAATACCTAGGTATGTATAAAATTATTTTCATAATATTTCATACATTACCTAAACGACAAAAGTATTATTTCAATATATACATTACCTAAACGACAAAATTATTATTTCAATATATACATTACCTAGATAATGTATAAAATACATAAATCAAACACATTGACGGTATTGACATATATTTTAAATACAATAATGCAACATTTATTAGTTATAACAGATTTCTTATTTTACACGTTTTAAGATTACACTGACAGCAAATTTAATTAGAGATCATCGGACAGCTCTCGAGTTGGAATTTGAAAAATCTGACAAGCGACCCATAGTTTTGCCAGTCACGTATAATGCCATGATCCCCAAAATCGCAAGTGCACCTGATATTCAGCTAAGAGCATGTTTTTTGGATTACCCTTACGCTAACGAAATAAATGTGATATCAAACGATTTTCATGGATATTTCACCGTAGAAGAACCTAAGGTATAAATTAATTATATTACGAATTGAGAATGTCTTCAGTGTCTGCTTAAAATTACTAACTGGTTTTGAATTTGAATTGATTAGTTGTTGAATTAAAATTTTTATTTATGATATATCTATTAATTAATTCATCTTCTTCTCCTATCGTTGTCCTATACTAGGTAGAGGTCCATTTCCTTACACTCTTCCCTATTAGTCGTCATCAAAATACTCATCCGTATCACAAAGATTATTCTTTACATGGTCCATTAAAATTTTTTCGGTCTTCCTTTAGTTTCACACCCGTCAACTTATGTATTCCTCATTTTCTCAGTCACCAGTACCACTTAAAGGCTTACCATAAAATACTATATACTATATACCTACTATTCTATTCCAAATTATTAGCTGCTTTTGATTGAACCTCTTACCGTGTCATAAATAAATTAAGTTTTTAAACATTGAGGTCATAGATATCATTCGATACACTACGTGTAGCTTGAAAACAAAATAATTTGTGTAATCTATACTCAAAATAACAAATTAAAATAATGTGTTCAACTTTTCTTTTAGCAAAATTCCATAATCAATGTTATTATCAATAACACAGAAGGTTTTATTGAACCCAATAGTGAAATATGTTTAACCGTAACAATCAAAGCCACCGCTCTTGGACCCTATGAATTTCCTTTAAGGTACGTTCGTTTTTTATTAAGCGCCAACTCTATCTTACGTTTCTTATAGTTTCGGTTTTTTTTGGAGGATAAATCAATTCTCTTACATAAATTTCTTGCAAACGTAAACATAAACTTACGACCTTTTTTATTTCATCAGGGTTCATCTTTTTGGCGTGTCTGAGTTCTTTGAAATATGCCGTATAAAGGGATATGGAGTAAGTCCTATTGTGACATGCAACCCAACAGCACTACACTGGGGACAAGTAAAGTTACTTCGAAGATCACAGAAAACTTTGACCCTCTGCAATGATTCTCCGGTTGTAGTACATTTTAAAACATCTTGGGTTGGTAGTTTCATCATGATATAATACCTCGGTACACCATCATACATTTTTAAGATGTTGTATTTCAAATTAATATTTTTTAGTTGAACCGTGATAGTAAATGGCAGATAGAGCCTGCAGAAGGTGTTATCGAACCAGAATCTGAATTAGATCTTATTGTAAGCCTGTATTTGGTTGACGCCGAAATATATACTAACAAAGCTGTTATACATTTAGAAAACATGAAAGACATTGTAAGTAATAATTAACATAAAAATATGTAAAACCATTTTCTTCAGTTTCTTTTAATGTATTTATATTTTTCTCAGCTATGTCTATTATTTATGTATTTTTTGTATTTTGTATTTTTAAGGCTATGTAATTTGAACTGTTTATAGGTTCATGTACGTTGAAAAAACTTATGAATCATGTCTTTCAGCTGGTGCCTTTAACAGTCACTGGAGTCGGAACTAGCATTGTAGTGGGTGAATTAGGCGATAGAATTGAATTAGGCCACCATTTTACGAAAATACCATTGAATTATAAAATGGTGATTGAAAATAGAGGTACACGGTTACATGCCCTGGAATGGAGTGAACATTATAAAACGCCAAAGAATAAACAACAAACTATGTAAACAAATTTAACAATGTTTTTAGGTCTATTATTATTTGTCATATAATTATTTATTTACTTAGTACTATTTATTGTATACAATATAAAGCAAAGTTAACTACAATCGAAAACAAAGTTAAGGTTAAATTCGTTTTCTTTTTATTTGGATATAGGTACAAAGCATTAAGTTAATTGTGCATGAACATTGAATATGATTTCAGTGCGTTTTTCAATTTAGAACCCAGATCTTTTAAAATGAATGCGGGTGAAAAATTAGAGTTGACAATAACAGCGATCTCAAATAGAGTAGCAGCGATACAAGAAATATGGTATTTAGTGGGTAGCATTGAAGGTGTCAATAAAAAAGAATTATTATTAGAATGCAAAATCTCAGCGGAGTTTGTGGACCCAAAGATAGAATTGTCTTCAACTTTAATGGATTTTCGATATGACAATGGTCCTTATAACGAATTTTATAAACTGACAGGTAAACAGAATGACTCCAGAATTTGTATAGATTTTTACAGCTTTTGGTAAAAATGATTCTCGCCAGTACGAAAGAAATTCAGTCGTCAAACCAGTGTGTATTCAAAGTTAAGTTACAACTTATAATATGTGTCCCAAAGCAAATCTGCAAAGGTCTCTGCATAGAGGCTATAGTAAAACAAGCGATAACACCCGTGGATTGGTGCGAATTTTTATGTGAAAAGAGTTTGCGGTTCACCTGATGTTAAGATATAAACAACCCTTAGGCTTGCTTCTCGTTCAAACACTTAATATAAAACATTTTAGGCGCCTGTTACATATTAAAAATGTTTTCTTACAGGTACTTTAATTTATTACAAATATTTACTACCTGCAGGCTTATGTATTTCGTTCAGTTATTTTTCAATTATTTTAAACTTTTAGATTTGCTGATTATAAAGAATATCTCGACATTGCCACTGGATTTAGAAATTAATACAAGACCACCGTTTGCCTTAATACAAAGTAAAAGTACATATAAAATTGAACCACACGAGGAAGATTTGTGTCACTGTATTTACTTCAAAGAATCTGATTTAAAACCGGAATCTACTGTTGCCAGTAGCAACAGTAAGGCAGAATCAAATAAGTTGATTGATTTCTTAACGTTAAAATCCGTGCCACCTCTACGTCAAACAAGTTTGCAGTTCTTTGAAGATATAAATAAAATAAAGCGTAATTTTAATTTGACGTATTCTATTGAACAACATTTAGAGGACCAAGAAATCATGAAAATTCAGATTTTGTTCGACACAACAAAGCATACGTCTTTGAAAGCCCGCATTTACACCGATTCTATAAAAATAAAATTTAAAGGACATAAAAACAAGGTTAATATATATTTTACACCATGGACCATATTTAACCGACTAGATTCAATGATTGTACTAATATAAAGTTCAGACTTTAAAGCATTCGATATTGTTACAAATTTATGATCTTTTTAATTAAAATTTTATTTCTAAATTATTTAAATATATCAAATTTTATATCTTATATTAGACACGTGTACATGGATGTGGAATAAAGATGTACGCGTGCCTATGTAACGTGATGACTACTCTAATTTTTCCGTGATATAACATGTAAACAACTGTTTATTGTTTAAAAATTTATTGAAATTATTTTAGTATTTAAGCTGAATAAAATATTAAAAATCATTTCAGGATTGCATCAAAGTATTTGGAAAGATAAATTTTCCAAACATTCTTGTCTTAACGCCTAAAATTGATTTTCAATGCCTTTTAAACGATAGCATCGGAAGTAAAACCATAAAAATCCAAAACGTCACACCGTTGATTGCTTGTTACCGATTCAACTGGAAAAAAGTCTCCATTACACCTACTTTAACAGTAAGTACTACAGTGAACAATAATTGATTAGGAACGTTTTCTCAAACGTTAGTCTTAATAACAATTTTATTCATGTAAAAGTAATTAATCGACTATATTATTCTAACTGCAAATTAGCAAGCGCAAATACCTAGATCTGGTACGATCTGCAGGTCATATTAATACTTGCTCCTGGAATCGAACCCATAGCCCCTGGGTTTGCAAATATGCTATTCGATTTATCAACACTATTGGCCTTGAAAATTGAAATACAATCAGTTTCGAAATGAGAACTGAAAGAATATGCTTTCGAGAGTAATAAAACTATGGTATTCTTTGTAGGCATTGGATCGTTTAAATTATAAGAGCAATTTAAACAACGTAACATTGAAAACGGACTCTGCAAGTAAGTATTAATTATAAGCTGTTTATTACATAATTTATATATATTTATTCAACACTATAATGTTAATTTCAATAATTACAGTTTCTAATACAAGTATCATTTCACCATATTCGGGAGATGAAAAATTTAATAAAACAAATGTTTCAATTACATCAACAGCCGTGACTGAAACTAATGCAAAAATAAATAATAGTATAAAGGGAAAGCTACTGAAAACCATAATACCAATGTTAAATAACGAATATGGCACGAAATTTAGATGGTTCTACAAGTTTCCTGAAATAATAGAATATCATGTCGATCGTATAAATGATATTTTTCTTTTAATACCACATAGAGGCAAATTAAATCCAAATGAAGTACAATACGTAAATGTGATCTTTCGACCGCAAGAAAACATGAACGTTCGAGCCACCCTAGAATGCCAAGTTCTTGGTGGCCCATCAGAATTCCTAACTATCACAGGTCAATCTTCCGACCTTATATATGCGCTTAGTACCCGAAAAATAAATATAAAAATAAGATCATTTCACGAAAACGCACATGAATATTTGCAACTATCAAACAAAGCGCTCTTACCGTTTGACTTCAAAACATATTTAAATGAGCCGATATTTGAAAACGAACTTTACGCAACTATTTTGGACATATGGCCTCCTGAGAAAATGTTACAACCTGAAGAAACCGTACAGATAAAAATATCGATGAGGCCAGGAGTGTTAGGGTATTTCAAAAGGGAATTTCTCCTTGAGATTGGTCACTTACCTACAATTCCAATTGAGGTTCATGGATGGGGCGTTATACCACAAGTTTATTTATCGATTCAGCGACCGAACATAAGTGAAGTGTGTTCAACACCTGCCTCAATGTTATTTTGTATTTGTTAATATACTTTCATTAATTCTATAATTAAAATTTTCTAGTATGATCCAAAATTGGGCTATCTTGCAATTGCAACATTGACTCATGAATACCTTGATGCTCTTAATATCATGTTCAATAAACGTACATCAGAACATTTAAATTCGCCTTTAACTGAGATTTGTTTGGAAGATCCCATATTTCAACAAGATTGGCATATATGTTCGCCTTGGGTAAGATTTCATTTACGCAATCGAATCTAAATAGAACGTATCTTAATAGCGAAAGATCCAGTTGTATTCACATGTTTAAAATTTTCAGGACGAGTATCCGTCTGTAATGGACATTGAAATGTCTATAGAAAGAGTTTTAGTTACGGATTTCCTAAAACTACATCCAGATGTCATTGCTGCGCATTCTGCTACTGCAAAGATGAGACCCATTTCAGGATTTAACACTATACCCTATGTTATAGATTTTGGTGTTGTTATTACTGGATGTACGGTATGGTGCAAGTTTAATTTAAAGTAAAAATTGCACATATTACAGTAGAAATATATGATGACCTCAAAGTTAATTTAAAACGTTTTATAGTAACGTTATAATGTAAAATTTCGTTATAATGTAATTTAATTTCTTAACTAATGACAATATCGGATATATTAATAGAAACTAAAATTAAATATTTTTTTTATAAAAATATCTGAAACTTTTGGTCCCATTTTAAGTTTAAATCACCATTATTATTTAAAAAATTAAGGGAAGTATTGTAATGTGTCAAAATTGCTTTTTTAAATTTCCATTAAATGAAAAAGTTAAATAGGGAGCTTTAATAATTACTGATTGTGGCTCAAAACTAATTAAAATTATATTCTTTATTCCTTAAGACTAAGGGTAGGATCCCAGTTGACAATACTGCTTGCGTGCATGTGCACTTGCGTTCACTTCTCTTTGGGTCTTTCAAACCTGTGGAAGCTGAAGCCTTCTGTGGCATCGTATGCAAATTACATAGTCCATAAGACGTCGTCCGACTGACGTAATCATCTTCCGACAAAGATATTGTTATTTCGTTATGACACTGAAATGTTAATCGTTTTTTATTATTTAAATATATTTGTTTGAAATTATTATATAATATATAGTTTGCAAAAAAATATTTTTGCAGGCAAATCGAACAGTTGAAGTGATTAATTATGGCCCGCTGATTACCAAGTTACATTTAAGCAAGAGCACAAGTGTACCTGAGTGGTTGAGTATTAAACTATGCGGAAAATTGAACCCTGGTGAAACTGGAAACATCGACGTTACCTTTTCTTCCAACGTTGAGCACTTCCCTGATCCAGAACAGAATGTGGAAACTTGTGTTAATTTGGAGGTTATTTATTAATACAGTAAGATATTTAAATATGGGATTGTTAGCTAATATATTTAATTATTTTAAGGTACCGTATGGAGTCACGATTCCAATGAAGTTTAACGCCCTTTGTGCCGTGCCTTACCTTGCATCTAGTGTTAGCCTAATTGATTTTGGTTCAGTGAAATGTGGGAATAAAGTAGTAGTTTCGATACCCATAAAAAACATGTAAGTTTGCAATTTAAGTCCCTATCATTTCCTTACATTGAAATTATGTGGATTAGACAAAATGATAATGCTACTTTAAACTGTGTTTAAAATGGTCAGTAAAAGTATATAGGTTCAACTCTTACCTTTATTATGCAATGTTATTCAGATTATTCATTGATTAATTTGATTAGTGGCAAGCCTGTATGCATTTGGTATGCAACTTTAAAACTTAAGTCTCTTGGAATGAATCAAATTACGATACTGGACAGCTCGGGTAAATACGAACCTGGCGAGAGTGGATGGCTCAGCGTTGCATTCAAACCTACCATGGAGGTTAGTTCCTTATTCCTCCTCCAAATAAATATGATTGTATCTTAAATTCTAGTGTGTGTAAGCGATCTAATTTTTTTTATAGAATATGTATATTCTATTACTACTAAAATTTATTCATTATTACAAATTTGGTATTCTGCCATTTAGAATCTAATCTAAAATTTGATTTTAAGTTATATTACTTGGTTGTGTAAATGGAAATGTACCCCAGTCTGTTTATAAGGCAACCGCAAAAAAGCAGTGCCGTGACAGTTTTTGCCACAGCTATATACTGAGCTTATAGACCTTTTTTGTGTCTACATTTTCACCATTATGTTGTTATTCTTGTTCCTTTTTAATTTTTTTCCTGCAATTTTTGACATTTTAATGTGAATATTTATAGATAAATGAACAAAAAAAGAAAAACTTAGATGTCAAGATTCTCGCGATAAGAAAGTTTTTGTCCTTTTATCAGTAGAAAGTTTCGCTTGAGTGTACAGATTAGCACTTAAAATAAAAATTAATCTAGAAAAAATATTTTCTGTAATGTTTGCTATTATACTTTTACCGTACTCAGTTTTCACTTCCATACTCATTAATTAAATTATTTTATTTCAGTTAACTTATGAAGGGCTATTGATATTTAGGTTTCATATGAATGCAAAACGTATGACTATTCCAATAATCGGATACGGAGTTATGCCTCAAGTGCATATAATTGGACCAAATATAAGATTTCCACCGACGTTGCCATGGGCCGAAACTATTGAACATTATTTCGGACTAACGAACCCTTGCCCGTTTCCAATTGAGCTTATAATAGCTCACAGTGACATGTGCGTAGTCAACATCTAGTAATAGTTCTGTTAAAGAATGAAAAAGTCACCTTATATCAAACCCAATTTCCCGTTTGTACCTGGAAAATGAAATAGGAAGTAAGGTTCACACAGGGGGGTAGTCTAGAGGACTATGCCCTCTATGCTGATATGTCTCTGTACGGGAGAAGCCTTTGCCTAGAGAAGTGCCATATGCAGAGTGAATTTTTCAAGTGGGCGTAGTCGGCCAAATCATAGTCTCTATGAGGAATGGCGAAAAATACTTAAAAGTTTTTGATTAAAAGTCTACATGAATGGATTTTTGGAGAATCAATATTCCTCGCCTGGAAACAAAGATCTTTATTAGCGACGCAATCGACTGGTGCAATAAGTGTGTGACTTTGTTTTTTTCAACAAACATCAACGGGTTCTATTCCTTGATTTTTCAAAAATCCAATCACATAGTTTTAGATTTCTTCAAAATCGGGTTCAAGACTTCCTTTTGGCAGTGGCGTAGGGTTGGCGATGGAGACGGTCCACTCCGGGTGCCAAGGGCCAAGGGGTGACAACTAGCTCGTTCATCTTGTTAGCTCCTGGCTATGCTATAGGACAGCTAAGAACAAAAATAGGTTATTTAATGTGACTTTAATACATGTATAAATTGTCGAAAAACAATCCAAAAGCGTTGTTTATGCCTTGTGCTGATCATTCGCTAAGTTTAGGCGTATCGGTAACAACACTAGTAGAGACAAAATGGTGTGTTCATCGCGACCCTATTATATAACTTAAGAAATAATTGAAGAAACTTGTATCAACTCTCGAAGATATGTGTGATCACAGCAATTTTAGAGGAAACGTTGAATAAAGAGAAGTAGGTCCACACTTACTAGCTTTCTAGGCATGAAGTCCTAAAAAACTTAAACTAAGTGTGTCTGGACACAATAATAATTTTTGTGAATTCCGAGAATGTGTGACAGAAGAAGTGGCCCAGGACGTTGGACTAACATAAGCTGCTGTGTTAAAATGTTTTGATAGACTTTACGAGGAAATGAACCTTCGTAACAGACCAATGGATGTCATTTTCATAATATTTGTCTATCAACATTTGTTGTCGTCAAGTCAGAAACTGTGTTTATGTCGAGAGATAAAGAACCTCATTGTGTTGTTCCATATGTGATAAAAATCTGCGATGAATCTATTTCTGCTACTTTGGGTGTGTCTAAGATTTTTAATTAATAAAAAAATATTGAAGGAATTATTGTAAAATGAAAATTCAAAAGATCTTACTTAAAATCTGACAAACTCAATTTAGAATATTTTCATATGCTATTTATATTAATTCGTTTTTTTATGTGTAAAGTTACCAAACGAACGGACGGTTCGCCTGATGTTAAGTGAATACCGCCGCCCATAGACATCTGCTGCACCCGAAGGTTTGCAGATGCGTTGACAATCTTTTTGGAAATTGGGCTCCGGCTACCTCACTCACCCGACGAAACGCGAAAATATTTGTCATACTTTACGCTGGTCTTTTGTGATGTCGCGGTACTTACCCGGACGAGCCTGCCCATTCATGCAACAGCCGAGGCTGCTGCGTGGCTCTACCACCCGTAGAATAATAATATGAATAATGTCGAACCACATAATGATCGAACAATTTAACAAAATAAAGCAAGTCAACTATGCACGTTAAGTATTTGTTATTTTATTGTGAGGGTGCTCAATAGAAAATCGTCTCGGGTGCCAACCTATGCTACGCCACTACTTTCTTAGAGTAATTTTGTTCTTCCGGTCGGATTTGATCAACCACGCCCACTTGAAAAATGCATGTAACGAATAGGCTATTACTCTCTTAGTCCTTCATGGACTATCAATGATGTATTTTGAATGTTGCATTTATCACAATACTAATAATTTCATTTTTCCCTAGTAAGTGGGACGAAGAAGAGGAGACTTACCGTTTATTGGAACAATATTATAATAAGCCTGATGAAATGCTTGTACCTGCAATTACACCAGGCACTGGGTTGCCTTCTGAAATAGTAGAATTTTATAAACTCGTCAAGGAGCGTGTTAAAAAGTAGGTTTTCTTCGCTTTTATTAGGAATGTAATGGGTGTGGAACATTTATTTAAAGGGTTTGTTTATTACTTCAGATGCCTAGATGAAGAAGGGAGCGCAGTGAAACCCTCAACAGTTAAGTCAGCATCTGCAAAGTATGCCTGAAAATTTGTGCTATATTAGTTTAAAAAAGTTGACTATCTTAATTTTCAAAATACTTTCTGTTGTAACAATTCATTAATGTTTATTTTACTAATTTTCTGACCAAAACTGGTATCATGTTACAATTTTTAAGTAATGTGGGTTACTCTTGCACATTTCATACTTTAATTATAATTTTAATATGACAATTAAAAGCATTTTGAAATCATATAACAATTAAGCTATTTATTAATTAAACTCATTGAACATTTTTTTCTCTTAAGCAAAAAAATAAAGAGCCCAAGACATGCTTCTAAAACCTCATCCCGATCTCAAGAAATGTCACCCAGGCGTCATCGAACTGAAGGGGAAATTATAGCGGGTAAAGACTAAAATAGTAGTTTTACACGTAGGAAATTTTAATGCGATTCCAATTTAGGTCACAAGTTAAATACCGTTTATTGAAGACGATTTTAAATTTTCATTGCATTTAAAATAAACTTCAATTGCATCATCATTTTTATAAAAAGTAATAATAAAATAAGTCTTAAAAATAATAAATTTAAATTAATTAATTCCACCTGCACTACTAAATGCCAAGCATACTATATCTTATCCTTTAAACGAGCAATTCTT